GTATGCAACCCATTCATCGCATGAACTTTGCCACCTGCCTGCATGGTGGCGTACCAATCGTTTTGAAATTGCGTGTTGCCTATCATTTATCCTTATAAATGAGCCTTCTTCTTTTCTCTGTTTTGTGGTTTTGTAATTTGCGTTCGAATAGTCCGAACACTACTGTAGATCATCAAATTACTGAATTTGAATTTATTATTGCTAAAGTTGACGTTGATGCAGTCAATAGTAAAGCCATATGATACAATAACTTCAATAAGAAATTGGAAGGATATAGACTCATTATGGAAGAGATTTTTTTTTGTGATTTAAGCCTATAGACATTTTTTCAACTTATGGATCCCCACTGTATCGAAATGGCCAATCAATCTTGTGGAAATATTGATAAATCGAGAGATAAATATCCTTGTTGTATCGTATGGACTCCAATACCTCTTTTGACATGGCTATTTCCTGTAATTGGCCACATGGGTATTGCTCTTTCTTCAGGCATTATTAGAGATTTTGCTGGACCTTACTATGTCTCCGAAGATAATATGGCTTTTGGACGACCAACTAAATATTGGCAATTGCACCCTTCATTAGCCCATGGAGGTATTAGGTACACTAATTGTTTATATCAAGTAACAAAGAGAAATTATCATTATGCTTCTACTCAAAAAAAAGAGGGTCTTTTAACAACAGATTTCATTGCAGTTGGAGTGTAATCATGATTTTATTTCTTTTTTTAGTGGATGGGATGCTGCTGTTACAGAAGCATCCGATATTTATAAGGGTCGAATGCATAACTTATTTTGTGATAATTGTCATTCTCATGTTGCAACTGCCCTTAACTTGATGCAGTATGACGATTCAACTAATTGGAATATGGTTAAGCTGACATTTTTAATGTTAATTCACGGCAAATACGTTTCATTTATGGGATTCCTTAAATCTTGGTTACCATTTGGAATTTTGGTTGCAATAACCATCATCATTGTTATGTTTTCTATGTAATATGCCAATTTCATTTTTGTTTTAATTTTATTAAATTTTGTATATAAATTTCAAAATTTATTTAGAATAGTAATATATAAATTAGAACCTTAAAATAGACATAATAGTTTTAATAAAAAAAAACAATATATTGTGCAATTAAACTAATTTTTGTTACAATCAATTATTCAAATACTTAATTCAGTTAAGAAAATTTGTATGGTAAGTGCTCCTGGTTGTTCCAAATGTAACTTGACCATCTTTTCATGAACTATACTACAAACAGTGCGGCAACTGTTGAACTGCAATCCAGACAAGAACATCAGCATTTTCTTTATGTCAATTGTTGAACATACAACTTCTTCAGCCTCATCATCACAGTTGTTTAAGGTTGGGATTTGACCCACTAAAAGAAAAATGAGTTATCTTTTTCCTTAAATATAATCACAGTTACAAACCAGCAAAACTTTCTACACTTAAATCGGGAAAATGGGCACTTAGGGTGACAATGTTTGTACTTATTTTTAGTGTCAACCTCCCAATTTTAGTTGCGCTAACTGTTAGACTATGACTCATAATTTTCATTCTTTCAACAATATTTTTCAATGCTTTTAAATTTGGCATATGTATTGTCACCTACAAAAAGATAAATACCATCGGTTAACATATCAGAATTGATTTTAAAGCATATTACATGAAAATCAGTAAATCTAGGCTCTTCATAATCAGACCAATGTTTTCTTGAAATTACTTCAACAGGAATATCGTGAACAACTTGTCTGTTTGTTTCCCCAGCCACCTAAAATTTTATATATTTGTATTTAATCTAATAATAATATTTATCGATTTAAAATTATTTAACATTAAAAAAAAAGGTACTTTTTGGGTCCTATTTGAATAAATAACTAGAAATGCATTATGCTACAGCGATGCTTAAATTTAATTAAATACCAATTCTATTTCTAATGTTAGGCATGGTGATTCCTTGTTAGTTAATTTTATTTTAAAAGTTTTCACGTCTTGTTTCAACATGGACAATGAACGGGCTAGTAAAACTAAAACGAATTTATATAATTAAAAATAATTTCATAGAAATATAAGCGGACTTACTTGTAGAAAATTCTAAATAAATTTCATTGTATTGTTCATTAACGCCTACAACATTGTATTCTTTAAAATAAAAGTTTACAGGCAATTCACACCACACTAGAGGTCTTCTAGGTCCTGATTCTTCTTCAGATATTATAAAATATACCCGTCTGGATGTTATTCTCATAACACATTCTTTTGAAAATTTTGATAAGCTAAGTGTTATATCTAAAACAAGTCTTTTTAATAAAAAATTAGTAATGCTATGATAAAACACTAAAACAGTGCCTACTCATAAAATCTCTCATTGCTGGAGTTTCTGTTATTAAAGCTCGAAACTTCATTTTAAACTACTTTTAATTGTTGTGTACACAAAATACACAATTTGAAATTATAACCATAACCTCATTTTTTACATTGGGTCATGGATAGTAATTTTTCTATTAGGTATATGTTTTGTGGTCATTTTTTCCCAAATAGAATAGATAGATTTAAACTCCTCCCTCAGGCGTGTGCAACATACCCAGACATATAGAGTGTACTCTATATCTCTGAACATACCAGGGGTTTACGAAAAATATATCTGACCAACTGATCCGAGCGCTGCTTACTTACGATCTAATCTAACCTCTTATCACTATCTACATGCAATAATTCTACAAATAAATGTGAAAAGTGGTACCTGTATGAATGTTCATCTACATCTACCATATCTAAATTGTTATTTAACATATTGCCATTTTTAATTTTTTTTCTACACAAGACAACTGAAAAGAACGAAACGAAGTTCATGTTTCATTCAACAGTCAACAAAACAATCTTTCTTTGTAACTTAACGAAACATCTGTTTTTAATTTTTTTTATTATACCTGTAAACAACACGCATGCGCAAATTTCAGATCATTCTTTAATCTAACAAATAAGCAAGGGCGACTAGAGCGCTCAGATTTTCTATAGATAGATAGATAGTTTATTTAGCTATTTTACACAAGTACATGGTTTATAGCAAGTCAATACAAGAAAACAAAAGGCATATCTGAGCATTGAGGTTGCATTTTCGTAGTGGGATTGATTCATCAGAGTGAATATTCGTAAGGCATTTTCTTGTTCCGACCACTCCGATACAATTATCGTAAACCCCTACTTTATCATAAGCTGACGATCCATTTTAAAATGATAAATTAACCGAAAGTAAAAATATTTAGGTTCTATTAATTAATCTAACATAACCTCTGGTTTGCATACATTACATTGTTTCCCAAACTTTCTTGTTTATATTTCATTTGCAAACTCCGCCCTATAAAGATGGAGTATAGGTTTATTTTTATTCTAGTTGAAAAAAAACTTGTGTAAGTTTTTTTTTGCATTTATGTTCTAATTATGGAGTTTATACAAGACAAGGAGTGAATACTCCGATACTCCGGAACTCCGATGCCGATGGGCCGCACCCAAGGATATTTATAATGTATTATAAATATCCTTTATCCTTGGGCCGCACCCACACATACGAATTCGGATGCCGTTTTATGACCTAAAGTAAATTTTAAGGAGTCGCCGTTGTAGCGCTGATGCACTGGAGCTGGAGAGTAATAACGGAAGCTGCTATTTCAACGTTAGACGCAGTACATAAGCAGAAGGACTTATTTAATATTTATTAATAAATTACTTCGTAAAAAATAAAAGTTACGTTTATATAAACTGTCGTAGGTATTTCCAGTTTTCGAGCGCCTTCGAAAATTCACCGAACTTTCGAATTAGGTTGGAAACCATGCTAAATTATCCCGAAGTAACACCCCTTTACGAAATAGGTCGCTCCAGACCAAATCCAGGAGCTTTCTATACTCCGACAAACATTCTGGCTAGCGCTAGCGTTCGGATTTCACCGAACTTTCCATATTTTGGGCGCTGCCGTTCATCGATCGTTCCCAACGACCCCCGACGTTCCGGATGGGTTCGATCGCACCGCTGCCATCCAATTCGACCGAATCAGCCTCCAAAAGGGCCGTATTCCTGATGGAAGCGTGGAAGCAAAGAAATCGACGATCTTTCCGCATATCGAGCCGCCGCCGCTAATCGATCATTCCCAGCGACCCCCAACGTTCCGGATGGACTCGATCGGACCGCCGCAACCCAATTCGACCGAATCAGCCTCCAAAAGTGCCGTATCTCCGATGGATCCGCGGCCAAGGGCCGATGAAGCAAAGAAATCGACGATCTTCCTGATTAGACGTCCCGAAGCCGCTCCAGAGGCGACCTGGTACCCGAAGCTGTCCGTCAATACGCCCTCACGGCGATCATTAACGCACCAAACCCTGGTAGCACAATCGTGTGCAATTCTAATTGTACAAGTTGTTTCAAGTTTACTTGAAATAGCCAAATTGTGTCAGATTGTTTTGTGTCTATTGCTGAAATTTATATCGTTTCTTATGCAAGATACTTTTACAATACTTGTATCAGACTTAACCAAAAGTACTTAAGTCCAAAGGGGTGAATTAGTATAAGTCAAGTACAATATGTCTTACTTAATTCTAATTAAGTCTGCAACATAGTCACTTGCTTTAATTTATTCTTTTGTGCTCAAGTGCCCTGAATCAAATCCATTGTAAGCTTTGATCAAGACAATTGTATAATGAATCTTGCAGTAAACCTGATGCTGATTTCGGCAGTAGATACACAGCAGTCTTGTATAAATGTCTTGTGCAAGATTTTGCTACCAGGGAAGTCATTTTCAGACCCTGCAACAGCACGCCCACCGAGCGCGTCCCGGAGCCGACGGCGAAATTTCCAGAATCCTTTCTGCGGAGAGATGCCAGTTCCACCACCAAAAGATGGGGAGACGCAATAAACATTTAATACACATTACTTTTATTGTTATTTCTTGTCCGAGTTATCAATCTTACCTCGCCAAAAAAGTTAGTCTTAAGGAGCATTGGTGCGACGCGAGAAGATACAATACCTCCGTCCCCAATAGCCATATCACCACGTGTACTCATTCAAGAGGCGGTGCCAACTGTCCACTTGTACTCATCAGGAGCCAGTGCGACACCGTTAACCTTTGGGTCAAGGTCAGCATTTTGCATAAACTCAAGTGCTAAAACTATAAAGTCCTCGTACTCGCACTGCTTTTTACAGAGTCCTCGTATTCGCATCAATTAAATTCAGTGCTAAAACTATAGAGTCACGTACTCGCAGTGCTACCCACAGACTTCCCAGTCAGTGCATACAGGGTCAGTCGATACCCTTGAACTTTGAACTCTTCACCTGCAATTGTAGAGAATTTGAACTCACCTTGTAATGGATGGACAAGTATTTAGATCGCACAACGTCCTCCACCAGTCCTTCCTTAGAGTCGTCCGACCAGGAGGTAGAGCGAGGATTGCCGTACGTTCGTTTACCCACCGTTTCTGCGGATGAGATTGGGGAGTCAACTGCGGGGTTGTCAGGACAAGTCGATATCCGAAAGGGGGCGAATCACTTCCCAACACCTCGGCCAACTATCGATCCTGACGAAATCGCCTCTACTAACTCCATTAAGGTTCTGAAGGAGGCCTCTGAACGGCAACAGCTGGCGTCCCAGGGACTTTCGCGGTGTGACGCGGAAACCCCTTATATGCAGTCAGAGGGGACCGATAATGCGACAAAATATTGTCACTTTAAATTTCTCGTGCATGTTTTTCATACTCTACTTCATAAACTTCACAAAACATATGATACACTCTACTTAATCAACGCCACCTTTACGCCTGAGGTCCCGCAAAGCGCCTACACCGGCCACGATTGTGGTCGGGGACCATTTTCACGAGACTGCCCAGGCCTACAGAGATAATGAACAAAGAGGGATAGTAGTAATAATACTAATTTTCAGAACCCTAATCCCATGTAGACGCCGACAATCAGCATTTTTGAAAAATGCAAATTTTCTCGATCCAGCCCGGACCACGCACAGGCCGTCCGGCAAAGCACACATCACCAGAGCACGAGGAAAACTACATATCGAGTTATATTTCTCAAAAAAATATAATTTCGAGCTCAACCCTCCTACACAGCTGTTACGCTGCCATACATTCAGGCTCAGCTCAAAGTTGCCATTTAGCCCAGTGCGTACAAAGACACTGATATTCAGACAATATAAGGTATCAGACCTGACAGTGCTCACACAAACATAGTTCAACCATAAGACAGGGTTTAGTCGAAAACCGGTTACAAAAAATCATTTTAAATTATACAAACTTTTATAAACTCGTTTAAAACAAAGTGCATATGCCCAATGTGCGTCTTAGACCCAAACAAATTAGAGCCTGGATCATTATCCCAAAGCCAAGCCAAATATCGTCAACAATGGAGGAAGAGTGACAGTCTCCGCGGCATCTATCTATAACGTCCGTTGTGGTTGGTGTTTAGGGGGGAGACGTCCAAGATACTTCCTTACCGGCGAGCGGGCGACTAATTAGTGATGGGAGATTTCGAGTGAAAAATCGAGTGGTACTCGATTATTGAGATCACTCGAGATATCTCGAGATGTTTACTCCCACCACTCGAGTGATTATTACCCTACGGTTGCACCATACTGCAAATAGTCACTGATTGCGTAACCGTTTTTTTAGAATAAAACGAAAAAGTGGTTAGGTTTTGAAGTGCTTTTTTTTTTTTTTTTTAGCTACGCTTATAAGTAATATATGACTAATACAAACATATTTGTGCGCCGCTGGGATGAAAACGACCAATATCTCGTATCTCGAGTGATCACTCGATTATTAGAAGTACTCGATTACCGATAACTCGATTATCAAAATTGGTCGATTATGCCCATCACTACGACTAATCTCTAGAGCTGGGTCGCTCATGAACGACTCGCACGAATGTGCCGGCACATAATCTTGTGCTGTGAACGAACGACTCGCAACGAAGGAGCTAATCGTTCATCGTTCATACCGGCACCAAATCTGTGACCGGCACTGAGCGAGCAATGAACATTGAACGAGCCGAGAGCCGAGCTGGATTGTTTCACTCCAGCTCCAGAGTCAGAGGTAAATACCACGACTCACGATTGGACTACATATGTGTATGTGTGAATTCTCCATATAACGTTGACTGATTATCACGACAGAAATATAGTTTAGGAATAAGTGAGCCGCAAATGTAAAAATAAATGTTTATTATTAGAATACTGTAGAATATTTTAATAGGACATGTAATTGTTTAAAACTGCAATAAATTATTATCAGGATATTAAAAATAGAATAAAGTTTATTTCTCCTAGGCATAAATAAACGGAAAAATAATTAAATTAACAAAATCATCTCAAATGCAGTTATAGGTAATAGTTAAAAAAATGTTTGCAAATTATGTAGATACATATTACAAATTTAATTTAAAAATATAATTTTAAAG